TCCATTGCTCCATGCTTGTATTTTGTAACATCTGTGTTGTGCTGTCTCTACCATTGACAATAAAACATGTCTTCTGTCGGAATTAAAGACACCATTTTCTTCAGGAGGTAAAGAATAGCATGGTCAATCTGCTTCAATCTTATCCATCCCAACGATTGAGATAAAAGTCGTATCCATAGATTCCCAGCCCATGCAGCAGCCTCTGTTCTACACTCAGCCTGCTCTAATGGAATCAGCATGCTCACATTTAATATTTTATGGATAATGTGTATTAACCTGTCTCTTGAGATAGAAACTCCACTGAGGCTGATGGGCCCGAAATCACAGACAACGAAGGCATTTAGAGCAGAACAATCCTGTGATGTGGTTTGTACTGGACCAGGGAGAATGTTCTAGAAACTGTCAGCTGCAGACACACAACATATGGATATATACTGAACGACAAATCAATCTGGAGAGACTCAAGACCAAAATTGTTATCAGAATTAGTTTTTATTTATTGTCGAGGTGCCTGGATAAACACCAGCAGACTTATTGAGGATTATTATATTAATGGTTTAGCTTCGGTGATTAGACCCCGGCAGGGAAACTGCGTAACGTCTGCAAAAGGGAGTTTAATACAAATGTTGAGCATTCGACCCCCTGGGACCTAGAACCAATAGAACAATTATCCCAATGTGGCCCCCAGGAGAAAACCATTGCCCACACCTAACATCAGACCTAACCCTAACATCAGACCTAACCCCAACTAACATCAGACCTAACCCTAACATCAGACCTAACCCTAACATCAGACCTAACCCTAACATCAGACCTAACCCTAACATCAGACCAAACCCTAACATCAGACCTAACCCTAACATCAGACCTAACCCTAACATCAGACCTAACCCTAACATCAGACCTAACCCTATACATCAGACCTAACCCTAACATCAGACCTAACCCTTAAAACATCAGACCTAACCCTAACATCAGACCTAACCCTAACATAAGACCTGACCCTAACATCCAGACCTAACCCTAACATCAGACCTAACCCTAACATCAACCTAACCCTAACATCAGACCTAACCCTAACATCAGACCTAACCCTAACATTAGACCTAACCCCTAACATCAGGTCCTAACCCCAACTAACATCAGACCAAACCCCAACTAACATCAGACCTAACCCTAACACTCAGACACTAACCCTAACATCAGACCTAACCCTAACATCAGACCTAACCCTAACATCAGACCTAACCCTAACATGCAGACCTAACCCTAACATCAGACCTAACCCTAACATCAGACCTAACCCCAACTAACATCAGACCTAACCCCTAAACTACACATCAGACCCTAACCCTTACATCAGACCTAACCCTAACATCAGACCTAACCCCAACTAACATCTAGACCTAACCCCAACTAACATCAGACCTAACCCCAACTAACATCAGACCTAACCCTAACATCAGACCTAACCCTAACATCAGACTAACCCTAACATCAGACCTAACCCTAACATTCAGACCTAACCCTAACATCAGACCTAACCCCAACTAACATCATAGACCTAACCCTAACATCAGACCAAACCCTAACATCAGACCAAACCCTAAACATCAGACCTAACCCAAACATCAGACCTAACCCTAACATCAGACCTAACCCTAACATCAGACCGAACCCTAACATCAGACCTAACCCTAACATCAGACCGACCGACCCTAACATCAGACCTAACCCTAACATCAGACCTAACCCTAACATACAGACCTAACCCTAACATCAGACCTAACCCTAACATCAGACCTAACCCATAACATCAGACCTAACCCTAACATCAGACCTAACCCTAAACATCAGACCTAACCCCAACTAACATCAAGACCTAACCCCAACTAACATCAGACCTAACCCTAACATCAGACCTAAACCCTAACATCAGACCTAACCCCAACTAACATCAGACCTAACCCCAACTAACATCAGACCTAACCCAACTAACATCAGACCTAACCCTAACATCAGACCTAACCCTAACATCAGACCTAACCCTAACATCAGACCTAACCCTAACATCAGACCTAACCCTAACATCAGACCTAACCCTAACATCAGACCTAACCCCTACTAACATCAGACCGAACCCTAACATCAGACCAAACCCTAACATCAGACCAAACCCTAACATCAGACCTAACCCTAACATCAGACCTAACCCTAACATCAGACCTAACCCTAACATCAACCTAACCCGAACATCAGACCTAACCCTAACATCAGACCTAACCCTAACATAGAGACCTAACCCTAACATCAGACCTAACCCTAACATCAAGACCTAACCCCAACTAACATCAGACCAAACCCCAACAAACATCAGACCTATACCCAACATCAGACCTAACCCTAACATCAGACCTAAACCCTAACATCAGACCTAACCCTAACATCAGACCTAACCTAACATCAGACCTAACCCTAACATCAGACCTAACCCAACTAACATCAGACCTAACCCCAACTAACATCAGACCTAACCCGAACATCAGACCTAACCCTAACATCAGACCTAACCCTAACATCAGACCTAACCCCAACTAACATCAGACCTAACCCCCAACTAACATCAGACCTAACCCCAACTAACTTCAGACCTAACCCCGAAACTAACATCAGACCTAACCCATAACATCTGTACCTAACCCTAACATCAGACCTAACCCTAACATTCAGACCTAACCCTAACATCAGACCTAACCCTAACATCAGACCTAACCCTAACATCAGACCTAACCCTAACATCAGACCTAACCCTAACATCAGACCTAAACCCCCCAACATCAGACCTAACACCTAACATCAGACCTAACCCTAACTCATCAGACCTAACCCTAACATCAGACCTAACCCCAACTAACATCAGACCTAACCCTAACATCAGACCTAACCCTAACATCAGAGACCAAACCCTAAATCAGACCTAACCCTAACATCAGACCTAACCTAAACATCAGACCTAACCCTAACATCAGACCTAACCCTAACATCAGACCTAACCCTAACATCAGACCTAACCCCAACTAACATCAGACCTAACCCCAACTAAACATCAGACCTAACCCCAACTAACATCAGACCTAACCCTAACATCAGACCTAACCCTAACATCAGACCTAACCCTAACATTCAGACCTAACCCTAACATCAGACCTAACCCTAACATCAGACCTAACCCTAACATCAGACCTAACCCTAACAGCAGACCTAACCCCAAACTAACATCAGACCTAACCCCAACTAACATCAGACCTAACCCTAACAATCAGACCTAACCCTAACATCAGACCTAACCTAACATCAGACCTAACCCCAACTAACATCAGACCTAACCCCAACTAACATCAGACCTAACCCCAACTAACATCAGACCTAACCCTAACATCAGACCTAACCCTAACATCAGACTAACCCTAACATCTGACCTAACCCTAACATCAGACCTAACCCTTCACATCAACCTAACCCTAACATCAGACCTAACCCCAACTAACATCAGACCTAACCTAACATCAGACCAAACCCTAACATCAGACCTAACCCTAACATCAGACCTAACCCTAACATCAGACCTAACCCTAACATCAGACCGAACCCTAACATCAGACCTAACCCTAACATCAGACCTAACCCTAACATCAGTCCAAACCCTAACATCAGACCTAACCCTAACATCAGACCTATCCGTCTAACATCAGACCTAACCCTAACATCAGACCTAACCCTAACATAAGACCTAACCCTAACATCAGACCTAACCCTAACATCAGACCTAACCCCTAACATCAGACCTAACCCTAACATCAGACCTAACCCTAACATCTGACCTAAACCCCAACTAACATCAGACCTAACCCCAACTAACATCAGACCTAAACCCTAACATCAGACCTAACCCTATACATCAGACCTAACCCTAACATCAGGACCTAACCCTAACATCAGACCTAACCCTAACATCAGACCTAACCTAACATCAGACCTAACCCTATCGTTAGCTCTGAGCCTAGCCCCTAACATTAGCCCTAACATTAGCCCTAACATTAGCTCTGACACTAGCCCTTAACATTAGCTCTGACCTAATGGCAGCACGGTGGCTGAGTGGATAGCACTCTCACCTCTCAGCAAGAAGGTCCTGGGTTCGAATCCCGGTCGGACCAGGGCCTTTCTGAGTGGAGTTTGCATGTTTTCTGCCCGTGTCTGCGTAGGTTTCCTCCGGGTACTACTCCGGTTTCCCCACCACTAAAAATATGTACAATAACATTAGAATAAGAACTAACAAGTGCTTAGTAAATAAACAATCAAGAACAAAAAACAACTGTATAATTGTAACATATATTAGCACTTTATTATGTTAATTAATGAGGGCTAAACTAAAGTGTGGCCCTATATTCTTAAGTCTACCTGTCGGGACATGACTATGAGTGGAAGGGAGATATTGGTTGCGACTTTAGCATGAGGGCCATCTCTGAACCCAGACTCTCATTTCACTGCAACATCTCGGTTGACATTTGGATGTTGGCCCCGCGTCACTCAGAGGTGCAGGAAAATATAATGGAAAAAAACATATCAAATAACAACAACGTCCTGTTCAAATAAACGGCCTGTGCTCAGTAGTTCATGGGACTTTACAGGGACCGGGAGATGAGCAGAACTCGCCTATATTTGGGCATCGTCTGGTCCTCCTGGTTCTGTGCAGTGGACGAGCTCCCATGATGCTTTGCACCAAATACACGTGTGTGGCTCTCTCGTGCACGTGCACAGAGGGGCTCGGCCGCGCTCTGACCAATCAGAGCTGATCAGAGCAGCAGCAGGGCGGAGTCAGAGCGGGAAGGAAAGGAGCAGAGTTTGTGGCAGTAAAGTGTGGATTTAAAGAAAACAAGGATTTAAGAAGAAAAAAAGTTCAGGACGACAAGGGACACTAACATCCCCACAAAATCTGACCTTTATGAAAGCTGTAGGTTCTCAGTCAGGTTCTCAGTCAGGTTCTCTGTCAGGTTCTCTGTCAGGTTCTCTGTCAGGTTCTCAGTCAGGTTCTCTGTCAGGTTCTCTGTCAGGTTCTCAGTCAGGTTCTCTGTCAGGTTCTCTGTCAGGTTCTCTGTCAGGTTCTCAGTCAGGTTCTCTGTCAGGTTCTCTGTCAGGTTCTCTGTCAGGTTCTCAGTCAGGTTCTCAGTCAGGTTCTCTGTCAGGTTCTCTGTCAGGTTCTCAGTCAGGTTCTCTGTCAGGTTCTCTGTCAGGTTCTCTGTCAGGTTCTCTGTCAGGTTCTCAGTCAGGTTCTCACAGTTCTCAGTCAGGTTCTCAGTCAGGTTCTCAGTCAGGTTCTCTGTCAGGTTCTCAGTCAGGTTCTCAGTCAGGTTCTCAGTCAGGTTCTCTGTCAGGTTCTCAGTCAGGTTCTCAGTCAGGTTCTCAGTCAGGTTCTCAGTCAGGTTCTCTGTCAGGTTCTCTGTCAGGTTCTCAGTCAGGTTCTCAGTCAGGTTCTCTGTCAGGTTCTCTGTCAGGTTCTCAGTCAGGTTCTCAGTCAGGTTCTCAGTCAGGTTCTCTGTCAGGTTCTCTGTCAGGTTCTCAGTCAGGTTCTCTGTCAGGTTCTCAGTCAGGTTCTCAGTCAGGTTCTCAGTCAGGTTCTCAGTCAGGTTCTCTGTCAGGTTCTCTGTCAGGTTCTCTGTCAGGTTCTCTGTCAGGTTCTCAGTCAGGTTCTCAGTCAGGTTCTCAGTCAGGTTCTCAGTCAGGTTCTCTGTCAGGTTCTCTGTCAGGTTCTCAGTCAGGTTCTCAGTCTAGGTTCTCAGTCAGGTTCTCAGTCAGGTTCTCTGTCAGGTTCTCAGTCAGGTTCTCAGTCAGGTTCTCAGTCAGGTTCTCAGTCAGGTTCTCAGTCAGGTTCTCTGTCAGGTTCTCTGTCAGGTTCTCAGTCAGGTTCTCTGTCAGGTTCTCAGTCAGGTTCTCAGTCAGGTTCTCAGTCAGGTTCTCAGTCAGGTTCTCTGTCAGGTTCTCTGTCAGGTTCTCAGTCAGGTTCTCAGTCAGGTTCTCAGTCAGGTTCTCAGTCAGGTTCTCTGTCAGGTTCTCTGTCAGGTTCTCTGTCAGGTTCTCTGTCAGGTTCTCAGTCAGGTTCTCAGTCAGGTTCTCAGTCAGGTTCTCAGTCAGGTTCTCTGTCAGGTTCTCTGTCAGGTTCTCTGTCAGGTTCTCTGTCAGGTTCTCAGTCAGCTGAGGTCGAGCTGTTTTAGTTTACATTGACAGACACACACACACAAAGGGACACACAAACACAGAGACACGCAAACACAGGGACACACAAACACAGAGACACGCAAACACAGGGACACACAAACTGAAGATTGAATTAGAAAAATGTATGTTTACACACATACAAACACACACACAGGGACACACACACACAGGGACACACAAACTAAGGATTGAATGAGAGAAATGTATGTTTACACACACGGACACACACACACAGGGACACACACGAACACACACAGAGACAGAGACACACACAGGGACACACAGAAACACACACACACACACAGGGACACACAAACTGAGGGTTGAATGAGATAAATGTATGTTTACACACACGGATACACACACACAGGGACACACACAGGGACACACAGAGACACACACACAGGGACACACACAGGGACACACAGAGACACACACAGGGACACACAGAGACACACACAGAGACACACACAGGGACACACAGAGACACACACACAGGGACACACAGGGACACACAGAGACACACACACAGAGACACACAGACACACACAGGCACACACAGAGACACACACAGGGACACACACAGAGACACACACAGGGACACACAGAGACACACACACAGGGACACACAAACTAAGGATTGAATGAGAGAAATGTATGTTTACTTTTGAAATCTACTGTAATTTCATGATTATATTATCAACAGTGGTGACTTCAGATTAAGAAGAAGAGATCCTTTATTAGTCCCACAGCGGGGAAATGTCAGTGTTGCATCACACGTTACAGAACAGTAGGAAAGAGGAGCACACACACACACACACACACACACAGAGACACACACACACACACAGGTGAAACACATGAATGCGGGACAAGTAATCAGCAAAACACTGAAAAGAACCAATAAAACCAGGAAAAGTGATCAAAAAGTCACATTATCAGCCACTTAATGTTATCCAATCCACTTTAATTATATAACACATTTTATAAAACAGGTTTCCTAAGTGCTGCAGAGAGATAAAAGTGACACATTTAAATACACAGGTTTTCCAGCTTTATAAGTATAAAAATATAATGAATACAATAATTATGATGTGTACAGTAAAAACAATTAAAAAAGAAGTAATAAAAACAAAAAATACCAGTTATTCAAAACAAAAAGACCATTAAAATAATTAAATCGGTGGAACAGAGGACCACACAGCTCACATGGGGCTAAAAACCAAAGAGGAAAAGTAAAATGTTAGGGTTTGGATTTATATTAATGAGTTATAAAACAGTCGATGAATACTTTTCCTCGATAGAAGCAAACTTTAATGTGATATGAGGACAGTGGAGGGATCGGGTCCAGGCCCTAATCCTCCAGATAAAAGTAGAGCACGACTTCTGCAGATGTGGAAACGAGAGCAGCCAAAGGACAACGCTCAGAAACAAGAACAATGAATCCAGTCCTCTTCACACGGAGCTGTTTGTTGGAAATTATGGAGAAGAAGAAGAGTGAATCTGAGCCAGACCCGAACCAGAGCCGGAGGCAGAACCCCCGGGTCGGTCCGAGCTCTCATCGTTCACTAACGGGGGGCTTTGGTTTTATTGTCTTACAGTAACAATGTTGAGTTCCAGACAATACTAGCTCATGGTATTAGCTCATACTCAGTTCATCCCAGTGGGGGCGGGTCCTGGTTCAAAACATGCTGCAATACCACCCCAGGCCAGTGGGGGTGGACCAGGAATAGGAATTAGCCAATACTAATGTATAACATCTGATTACCTCCAGAAAACGGCTTTACAGGATGCTCCAAAAGTGGGTTTTGGTCAAGCCCCGGCGATCCAAGATGGCGCCGTATTCAAATGAATGGTTGTGCTCAGTGGCGCTTTGTGCCGGCGCGGTCGCTGACATATTAGCAGAGTTGGCCTGTATTTGGGCATCGTCTGGTCCTCCCGGTTCTGTGCAGTGGACGAGCTCCCATGATGCTTTGCGCCAAATACACGTGTGTGGCTCCAATCACGTGCACAGAGGGGCTCGGCCGCGCTCTGACCAATCAGAGGACAGCGTTCCGAGTTTGTGGCAGTAAAGTGTGAATTTAAAGAAAACCGAAGGATTTAAGAAGAAACAAAGTTCAGGACGACAAGGGACACTAAAATCCACACAAAATGCGTCCTTTGTGAAAGCTGTAGGTTCTCTGTCAGGTTCTCTGTCAGCTGAGGCCGAGCTGTTTTAATTTACATTGAGTTCTATGGGAAAAATTTCTGGGTAGCCCACATGAATTTAGTCTGGTTTAGTCTGGTTTAGTCTGCAGTATCGCGAGAATCCCCCGAGCACATGGTCCTTCAGCTCCAATTAGTAATACCCTATCCAGTTATTAAAATAGATCCATGGTTTTGGTCCAAAAGTGGCTCTTGGTCCAAAGGCTACGTTCAGGATCCTGTCGATGCTGCGAGAGTATTATTACTTTTTGGACCAGTCTAGTTTAGTCGCTGTGGACTTTTGAATGAATGGGGCTAGTGCAGCTAACACATGCACAAATGTGGGTTTTATTTCCACATTTCCCAGCCCCGCGGCCATTTTGAAAAAGCCACAGAAGGCAAAAATGATGTCACATTAATTTGAACGGCGGAGAGAGGTGTGACTAGAAACAAGAAGGTCCTGGGTTCGAATCCCGGTCGGACCAGGGCCTTTCTGAGTGGAGTTTACATGTTCTCCCTGTGTCTGTGTAGGTTTCCTCCGGGTGCTCCAGTTTCCCCTACCACTAAAAACATGTACAATAGGTCTGAATGTAATGAGTGAGTGAATGGAGGGTGTTGGGTCGGAGGTTTTCATGGACTAGTGTCTTTGAACTTTGTAAAGTGCTCTGGGCGACCTTGGTCTGTAAAATGCGCTTTATCAATAAACATTACTTACTTACAAATTGTATTTTTATTTTCCTTTTAAGAAACACAAGGCATAAGCTTAGGCTGAGTTTACACGGAGACAATGTGGCAGTAAAACGGTATAGTTGGATGTCGGTTTCTACCAAGCGTTCACACGAAGACTGTGTTCCAGGTGAAAACGTAAGTGTTCAGATCCAGCCTCAGAGTGGGACAACTCAGGCCCTGTTTATACTGAGACGCTGCGCAGACGTTTCCAGGCTATTAACAGAAACGACCTGGCTCCTAATGCAAATTTTTCAGCGTTCACATTGAAAAACGATGTAGTTCTAGCGCCCGGCCAGTAGGGGGCAGAGAAACTTTACAACACTCACACGACCCCCAGCCCCGTGCCCAGCCCCCCTCTCTGCAGTGTACTCACTTCCTGTGCCAGACCCTCAGAACGTACCAACATCATTCTGCATTTTAACAGCAGCTGTGAAAATGGAAACTGAACCTAGAGCTTCGCGTGGTCTCGTTTGGACGAACGAAGGAGTAGAATTATCCTCTGTCCCGCGCTGGAAGCCCACGTAGCTAGTTTGTGTGGGCGGCGCCATTTTTGTTGATGTTGGTTCTCCGCTACTGCGCATGTCCAAATGTACGTGTGGGAGCAGCAGGAGGTGGGGGTCAGAGCAGCAGGAGGTGGGGGTCAGAGCAGAGGGGGATTTCACACCTTTTCCCTCTCGCGGGTGTGAAAGAGCCCCCGCTGTGCAGCGTTTCTGAGTTGTCCCACTCTGCAGGCTGGATCTGAACACTTACGTTTTGACCTGGAACAGTCTTCGTGTGAACGCTTGGTAGAAACCGACATCCAACTATACCGTTTTACTGCCACATTGTCTCCGTGTAAACTCAGCCTCAGAAACGCTGCACAGCGGGGGCTCTTTCACACCTGCGAGAAGGAAAAGGTGTGAAACCCCCCTCTGCTCTGACCCCCACCTCCTGCTGCTCCCACACGTACATTTGGACATGTGCAGTAGCGGAGAACAAACATCAACAACAATGGCGGCGGTCACACTAACTAGCTTCGTGGGCTTCGAGCACAGCACAGAGGATAATTCTACTCCTTCGTTCGTCCAAACGAGACCACGCGAAGCTCTAGGTTCAGTTTCCATTTTCACAGCTGCTGTTAAAATGCAGAATGATGTTGGTGCGTTCTGAGGGTCTGGCACAGGAAGTGAGTACACTGCAGAGAGGGGGGCTGGGCACGGGGCTGGGGGGTCGTGTGAGTGTTGTAAAGTTTCTCTGCCCCCTACTGGCCGGGCGCTAGAACTACATCGTTTTTCAACTTCATGTGAACGCTGAGAAATCTGCATTAGGAGCCTGGTCGTTTCTGTTAATAGCCTGGAAACGTCTGCGCAGCGTCTCAGTATAAACAGGGCCTGAGTTATTTTACTTGATATTAAATTCTTGGCATTTTTTTGGCAGAAGGCTTCGCTGCTGGAGACCTGTCCCCGGATAATCCTAATTAGCGTCAGTCAGTCAATATAAATGTCTAAATATATTTGTACACGTCCATATTCATCTCCACGTTATCCACTTGATTACACACAGGTGCCCCAGAGACCCACAACAACTGCTTCACTAAACCATCAATCGGTGAAATGAAAGAGATGAGAACCCATAACATTAAAGCGGTTAGGAACAAGCT